AAGCTCTCATATAATAAAAATTATTACCTATGGGATTTTAAGTATTTGATATTCTTTAATTAATAATAATTTTGCTTTGTCCTTTAGCATAGAGCTCTCCCTGGATCTATAACCACCTGGAAATTCCATACGGATTACCTTATTGTATTATATATATATATATATATATATATATATATATATATATATATATATATATGACTGAGATGTCTAAAACATGCTGGGCTATACGATGGTTTCCTCTACATGAAGCCGATCCATGTTCAAAATATGTTGGAAAGGACATTAAAGTTGCTCCATGAAAAAGCCAGGGAGGTAGTTGAAAATTATGCTGTTAAAAATCAGAGACGTCTACTTAAATATGTTTATCCAGTAAACCGTTCATGTATAGTAATAAACAATAATGTCGGGTTATGAATAAAAGAAAGACATTAATTTCTTAGAAATTACTTTGTCTATATTTCGGATATTATAAATAAACTTAGCCGATATGAGCTTTAAAAGAGCTTAACGAGAAATTTATTTTAATTGTTAAGGATGCTTTACTGTGAAGTCTTTCATGGCTGAGCATTCAAAAAGCACACCAGGCTATATGGCGCATTTGTCTTTATTAGTTTCTCGAAAAACACAGGCCGGTACACATAATTATACAGTCAGAAAACAGAGGCATCTATTCAAATATGGCTCATTTGTCTTTATTAGTTTCTCGAAAAACACAAGCCGGTACACATAATTATACAGTCAGAAAACAGAGGCGTCTGTTCAAATATGGCACATTTGTCTTTATTAGTTTCTCGAAAAACACAGGCCGGTACACATAATTATACAGTCAGAAAACAGAGGCATCTATTCAAATATGGCTCATTTGTCTTTTTGTTTTTGCCGGTACACATAGTTTCAGTCGAAAACAGAGGCGTCTGTCAAAAAACACAGGCCGGTACACATAATTATACAGTCAGAAAACAGAGGCGTCTATTCAAATATGGCACATTTGTCTTCATTAGATTCTCGAAAAACACAGGCCGGTACACATAATTATACAGTCAGAAAACAGAGGCGTCTATTCAAATATGCTTCATTTGTCATTATTAGTTTCTCGAAAAACACAGGCCGGTACACATAATTATACAGTCAGAAAACAGAGGCATCTATTCAAATATGGCTCATTTGTCTTTATTAGTTTCTCGAAAAACACAGGCCGGTACACATAATTATACAGTCATAAAACAGAGGCGTCTATTCAAATATGCTTCATTTGTCATTATGAGTTTTCGAAAAACACAGGCCGGTACACATAATTATACAGTCAGAAAACAGAAAAAACATTCATGGCTCATTTGTCGGTCGAAAAACACAGGCCGGTACATAATTATACAGTCATAAAACAGAGGCATCTATTCAAATATGGCTCATTTGTCTTTTTGTCAGAAAACAGAGGCGTTGTTCAAATATGGCTCATTTGTCTTTATTAAAAACACAGGCCGGTACACATAATTATACAGTCAGAAAACAGAGGCGTCTATTCAAATATTGTCTTTATTAGTTTCGAAAATTTGTCGGTACACATAATTATACAGTCAGAAAACAGAGGCGTCTGTTATGGCACATTTGAGTTTCTCGAAAAACACAGGCCGGTACACATAATTATACAGTCAGAAAACAGAGGCGTCTATTCAAATATGGCACATTTGTCTTCATTAGATTCTCGAAAAACACAGGCCGGTACACATAATTATACAGTCAGAAAAAAGGCGTCTATTCAAATAGGCTTCATTTGGTCGAAAACACAGGCCGGTACACATAATTATACAGTCAGAAAACAGAGGCATCTATTCAAATATGGCTCATTTGTCTTTATTAGTTTCTCGAAAAACACAGGCCGGTACACATAATTATACAGTCATAATTATTCAAATATGCTTCATTTGTCATTATGAGTTTCTCGAAAAAACACGGTACACATAATTATACAGGCATCTATTCAAATATGGCTCATTTGTCTTTATTAGTTTCTCGAAAAACACAGGCCGGTACACATAATTATACAGTCAGAAAACAGAGGCATCTATTCAAATATGGCTCATTTGTCTTTATTAGTTTCTCGAAAAACACAGGCCGGTACACATAATTATACTGTCAGAAAACAGAGGCGTCTATTCAAATATGGCATATGTCCTTTATTAGTTTCTCGAAAAACACAGGCCGGTACACATAATTATACAGTCAGAAAACGGTCAACACAAATATGGCTCATAATTATCAAAAAAACAGGTACATATAATTATACAGTCAGAAAACAGAGGCGTCTATTCAAATATGGCATATTCCTTTATTTTATTAGTCTATTCAAATATTCTCTTTATTAGTTTCTCGAAAAACACAGACCGGTACACATAATTATACAGTCAGAAAACAGAGGCATCTATTCAAATATGGCACATTTGTCTTTATTAGTTTCTCGAAAAACACAGGCCGGTACACATAATTATACAGTCAGAAAACAGAGGCGTCTATTTAAATATGGCATATTCGTCTAGTTTTCAAATATACACATAATTATACAGTCAGAAAACAGAGGCGTCTATTTAAATATGGCATATTCCCTTTATTAGTTTCTCAAAAACACAGGCCGGTACACATAATTATACAGTCAGAAAACAGGATGGCATTTGTCTTTATTATTTCGAAAAAACAGGCCGGTACACATAATTATACAGTCAGAAAACAGAGGCGTCTATTCAAATATATCACATTCCCTTTATTAGTTTCTCAAAAAACACAGGCCGGTACACATAATTATACAGTCATAAAACAGAGGCGTTTATTCAAATATGGCTCATTTGTATTTATTAGTTTCTCAAAAAACACTGGACGTTACATATAATTATACAGTCAGAAAACAGAGGCGTCTATTCAAATATGGCATATTCCCTTTATTAGTTTCTCGAAAAACACAGGCCGGTACACATAATTATACAGTCAGAAAATAGAGGTGTCTATTAAAATATGGGCGTTCTAGTCGTTTGAAGATCGTGATAACGTTAAACTTGTGTAACAACTCGAACTGCCCTTTGTTAAGTGTTAACTTTTTAAAGTGTTTTTTTTTTTTGCTTTGTGTGTCTCGTCTGGATGTTGAGAACTTTACTGCGTTAGTAGGTATTTGCTGTTTGGTCATTGTTTTCTTGTTAAGAATTTGTTCTTGTCTAAGGTGTTAGGTCATCTGATAAGTTCTTTGTTGGTCGCACCATCATCATTGGTATATATAGCGAGTTTCAAAGTGAGACAAGCTTGCTAACCATTACACCGCCTTTGATATATATATATATATATATAGCAGTCGTAGTCACAACTCTGAACGTAGGCCTACAAGGCCATATGGGCGTTTTTTAGAGAACGAGACAGCGCTGGAATTCGCCAGTCACCAGGCGACGAAGCATCCCTTTTCAGGATAACACTGCTTACAAAAAAAACCTGAGAAGGGACTAGAAAAAGGGTCCTAAAAATTGCCTGACTCATTCTTCCCTGGCCAGCTTTCCGCCGCTGGCAGGGGTCCTATACCAGCGGTAAGAAGTCAAAGAAATCAAAATTGTTTACGTTGACAGCAGTGCATGGAATATGCGCACCCTTTTGGACCGTGTTGAGACTGGTCAGCCTGAGAGACAGACCGCCCTCATTGACAACGAACTAGCTTGATACAAAGTGCAGATTACCGCCCTCAGCGAGACCCGTCTAGCAGAGGAAGGACAACTAGCAGAGCAGTTTGCCGACGACACGTTCTTTTGGGATTGGATGTGGACACGAGCAACGGCAGGCAGGAGTTGGCTTGCTATCAAAAATAACCTGGTCAACATGCTGGCGGCTCGTCTGAATAGGATCAATTCTCCCCAGGAAGAATTCGCGACAATGTTCAGCGCGTACACCCCCACCATGACAAACCTTGACGAGATGAAAGCCAGATTCTACGAGGATTAAGATCTACGACCATCTCTGTCGTTCATCATTCTGTGTGATTTTAACCCCAATGTCAGCAGAGATCATATGCCGTGGGAGGGAGTGATGGGAAAACACGGCGCAGGCAAGTGTAACGGCAACGGGGTCTCCTTCTGCTGGTGTCCTGCGTCACTCATGATTTTCTCATCACCAACAAAGTCTTCTGTCTGGCCAACCACAACAAGACGTCGTGTATGCACTCGCACTCCAAACACTGGCATCTACTTGACTACTTTATCCTAGATGTGAGGGTTACAAGGACCATGTGCGGTGATGAATGCAGGACGGACCACTGTCTGTTGATCTCCACGAGAGCCAATATGGATTCCGCGCGGGACGACACACCATGGACTTGGTCTTCGCAACTCAGCATCTTCAAGGGAGGTGTCGGAAGCAGAACGTTGGACAGTACACCATCTTCGTGGACATGACTAAGGCATTTAACATTGTCTGCCATGAGGGGATGTAGGAGATCATGGCCAAGTTTGGATGCCTCATCAAGTTCATTGCGATGTCCGGCAATTTCATGACAGCATGGATGCGAGTGTGCGGGATGACAACGAGTACTCCCAGCCGTTCCCCGTCACCATCGGATTAAAGCAAGGATGTGTGCTGGCTCCCACCCTGTTCAGCATGGTGCTTTCCGCCATGCTGACGTACGCCTTCCGAGATGGAGACATCGGTGTAGGTTTCAGTTACCGTACCGACGGTAAACTTCTCAAGATTGCCGGCAAAGACAAATGTGCATGAAGATACGGCCAGTGAGTTCCTGTCGCCGACGACTGTGCGCTCAATGCTAGTACCCAGTCTGACATGCAGGGTCGCGTGAACCTATTCTCTTAAGCCTGCAAGATAGATGCAAGACTTAGGCCTCAGAATCTCTACTAAGAAGACCGAAGTCCTGCACCAACCTGAACCTGGGACGTCTTACATTGAACCTCACATTACTGTCAAGGGCCAGAGACTAGCAATTGCAGACAAGTTCATCTAACTGAGTAGCACTCTGTCACGTTCTGCCAGCATCGATGAGGAAGTGGCGTACAGAATCATGAAGACCAGCGCGGCCTTCGTCAGAAGGAAGGATAAAGTCTGGGAGCAACGAGGACTGAGCCTTAACCACAAGCTCAAAGTGTACAAAACCGTAGTACTACCATCTGTGCTCCATGCGTGCGAGACGTGGACTGTCTACAGCCGGTATGCTAAATAGGTCATGCCTTCCACATCAGATGCCTCAGAACCCTGGTCTGTGTCAGGTGGGAGGACAGAGTTCTCGACATTGAGTGCTCCAGTGTGCTGGAACGGGGAGCAACCGTGCCATCCTACTGCGCTATAAGCTCCGGTAGGCAGGCCATGTCCGCCACATGGACATCTGTCGCCTCCCAAAGAGATTGCTCTATGGCGAGCTATCCACAGGCAAACGCTCACTCGGCAGACCAAAGAAACGTTACAAAGAAAGACACGCTGAAGGAGGCTCTCAAGCACGGTGGCATTCCTCATTTCACCTGGGAAAGGTCTGCTGAGGACCGTACCATCTGGCGCTCCCTTGTAATTTCCGGAGGGTCTGATTTTAAAGAGAAAAGAAACAGGGAGAAAGAACAGAGACGCCTGAAAAGGAAAGATTACGAGGGCTCCACTTCCCAGCCTCGTTCAGCTCCCAGCACCCCATGTTGCAACTGAAACAGATTTTTCAGGGTGAAGATATGACTCATTAGTCATCTCCGCCCCCCCTCAGCAATACAAGGACATCCACGTATGCAGAGGACGAACGATATATATATATATATATATATATATATATATATATATATGCGCAAAAATCACAAAAGTGTTGATGTGAGCAAGAGGCTACCTGGCAGAAAAAGACTCAAAAAGGGAGGAAAACTAATAATAAATGACCGAAAAGAAAATACCTACTTAAGTACTAAATAGTAATGCTCAGTGACTAGGTTATCCAGGCAGAGCAAAAAACACATTAAAACTAACACACAGACGCGCGCGTGAGCGCACACACACACACACATATATATATATATATATATATATATATATATATATATATATATATATATACAAGCGATGTATTTGTTTAATCTAAAGATGTAATTACAAAGAAACTCGGGTCTAGATAGATATATAATGAATAGACTGAGATAGATAGATAGATAGATAGATAGATAGATAGATAGATAGATATGAATAGACTGAGCTAGATAAATGAAACGCTTGCGCACAATCATATTCACATATGTGTGTGTGTGTGTGTGTGTGTGTGTGTGTGTGTGTGTGTGTGTGTGTGTGCGTGTGTGTGTGTGTGCTTGTTTGTGTAATGTTTTCACGGAACGAGAAATGTAGGCTTGGAAAATCTGACACTCACTGAACAAGTTGAAAGTAAGAGGGACAGAGAAAAGTAGGGCATAAGCTACCGAACGAGCTTGATGTAAATAGATGGCAGAACAGGGAGAGATAGGAAAAAGACAAAAATTTATTAAGAGCTGAAAAGGACAGGAAATTGTGGAGACCCAACATCTGAAAGCGGCTTCGGGACAAAGAAGAAAAATGGAATTAACAGGGTTTTTTTTTATTAATTACAACTCGGATGGGGAAGCAGTTTTGTGTCTAATTCACTCTTTTCTCTGTCATCTTTCATGGTATACCGGAGGCAAAGCAATTTCGTCAATGTAACTATTGATAGCACAGAGTGCACCGGTGTGAAATCATATCTTTCCCAAGAGCGCCAGTACTCAGTGAACATAAGTAACTTCAGACAAATATCCAACTTGTAAATATTTCAAGTATATTTCAAGTACTTACTCATAGACAGTTTTAAAAATGTATAACAACCTTCCAAATGAGATGCGGATCTGTAATTTCTTTTATTAAATATTCGCCAATACAAGGCCTAAATACGATTGAAGGCAGAGGGTTCAAGAAACAGTTTCCATAGACGTAAGAGGATGAAGTAAGAGAAGACTATGGCAGTATGGAGGAGAGATAATGCTGGACCGTAGGCACGGAACTTTAACTTAAAAATGGTTAAAGTCGGAGTAATCGAGGAAGTCTGTTCCACAAAAAGGCAGTCTTCGGAAAGATGCTGTCTGATGGACAATAAATAACACAATAGTGGTTGGCAACTAACGTAACTTAATTATCTCTAAGAAAAACTGGTTTTATAGACTCTGTTGTTAATCCAAGACAGGCCTCAAGAGCCACTCAAAGTAGAGTATTACTCCTTAAAGGTTTTTTAGGGAACTAAGAATTGGAGATTATGAAGAAGTGTAGAATAGATAAAGATTAACCATAGATTTGAAGAGATTAAGATTATAATGATTGGGGGAAACATCCCCTCGAGAGTCTGTTCTAGAAAGAATCAGTCTTCGGGAAGAAGCTGTGTGAAGGACAATAAAAACTCAACAATATTTGACAACTAACGTCACCTAATTATATCTCATTTTTACTCCATTGTTAACCTCAGGCAAGGCACAAGAGTCACTCAAAGTAGAGTATTACCGAATGGGGATGTTTTACGGATTTAAGAATTCCAGATTATGTAGATATGTAGAATAGGTAATGGTTAATCATAGACTTGATGAGGTCAAGATTGTAGTTATTGCAGAATCAACCTCTCGGTAGTCTGTTCCCCAAAGCAGCAATTGTTATCAAAATGTAAGGATTTCTCAAGTGATATTCATTTAATAAAATATTTCTTTCCTACTTTTACCCTCATTTTCCCTAGTAAACACGTCTCTACTTATAGAATCTTTATTAACAAACTTGTAATCTGTCGACTGACAGTAAATGATTCGCACAAGATTTATTTTCAACTATTCCTTCTTCTGATATAAGTCTTTGGCTCAATTTCAAATGTAAAAGGTCGTTCTTAACGTATTCTTTTCCAGTTCCTTCCTCAAGAACGCAGGTGTTCCCCAAGGCTTTGTCCTGGGCCTTACACTGTTCCTGATCTTCATTAACCATCTTCCCGATGACATCAGTTTCCAAATAGGCATATACGCATACGACACTACTATTTATTCCTGGCTCAATAGTAAATCGTTGGTCTCAAAAAGGACTTCCAATCTATTTTTGACTGGGGCAAGCAATGACTGGTTAACTTTAATACCTCAAAAACAAAATTTCTCTCGTTTACCCACCACAGAGAACCCTCCTTGTCTCCCATTAGAATGCCTGATGCTCAACTCCACGAGTGCACCTCTCGTGTGACTACTTGGTCTCCCACTGTCCGTTGATCTGAGATGGAACAATTACACTGAATCAATAGCTTTATATACCGCAAGGAAAGTTGGTTCTCTCTGTCGCGCCAGAAGGTTTTTCTCCCCAGAGTTCATCCTTCAAATCTATAAATCAATCATTCGCCCTTGCATGAAATACTGATACCATACATGGTCTGGAGCAACCGCTGTTCGTCTTAAAATTCCAGAAACGGATATGCAATGTGGTTGGCCCTGATCTGTCATCTCGTTTACAGTCACTTTCTCACAGACGTGCCATCGCTTACCTCTGTCTTTTCTACAAATTCTTTCACGGTAACTGCTCTGACGAGCTACTTTCACTGGTTCCCAAACTGCATGAATTTAAACGTGCTACTAGGTTGGCATCTCGGTCCCACCCTTTCACTGTCGAAACGGTTAAATGTAGCCCGTCTCTTCTACTCCAATAGTTTCATGCCTTGCACTTCCCGTCTGTGGAACTCCCTTCCTCTTACTTGTTTCCCTGATAGCTATAATCTTCAACTATTTAAATGAGATGTCAATCGGTATCTCCAGATGCTTTGATCTATTCCCCGTCCTTTTCTTCATCCTTTCCTCTTTCACGCCTCTTTACTCTTGCTCCCACTGTCTGTAACCTCTTGCGCAGTCCCGACTTTCTTGGGAGGAAAACATTAAAAAATATCACTTATCTGAATAATCTGTCTTCATTTATATTAAATCTGTCCTAGCACTGAATCTAAACAAAGTGAATTTAAGCAAAGTGAATCTAAGCAAAGTGAATCTAAACAAAGTGAATTTAAGCAAAGTGAATCTAAGCAAATAAATTTAAACGAAGTGAACCTAAGCAAAGTGAATTTAAGCAAAAGGAATCTAAGCAAAAGGAATGTAAGAAAATTGAATCTAAGCAAAATGAATTTAAGCAAAATGAATCTAAGCAAAGTGAATCTATTCAAAGGAAGTCTAAGCAAATTAAATTTAAATACAGTAAAAGTAAGCAAAGTGAATCTAAGCAAAAAGAATGTCTGTATAACAAATCAAATTCAAATACTTCAAAATTTACATCACTACATATTTTTATTATACTATACATCCAATACAAGGCAGAAGGTTACTTATTAAGGTTGTTGCAGAGAAGTACAAATTGCAGTCTATGAAGATATTAAGGACAGATAACAGTCGACCCTAGGTATAAAATAGTTAAGATCGTAATGATCGGAAAAGCATCCTCCCGAGAGTCGGTTCTGACAAATTAGCAGTTCTCGGGAAAAAAAAACTCTCCGAGTGATATTAACACGTTGACTGTCAGAGGTCAGTTACAAAACCTGACTTTCAAACGCTGAATTTATAATAGCCAACTTAGTGAATAAAACATTTTTGATTTATAAAGTCTTAACATTGTGTTTCAAACTAAAAGTATCAAAAAACTCGTTGTTGGCACCCACAGACGAGACCGCCCTGCGTATGACGATAAACTACATCCGGGTCCTGGGTAAGACAATAAACTATGTCCAACAGCAAGGCCTCTGATCAGGGGTTTTTGAGGAGCGTGATGATCACAGGTCCACCCTGACCTGGGGTGGTAGCACCTGTTAGGATCCCATCTATGGGCAAATAGTTAATCCCAAACTGGGGTCAAAACACTATGAAAGTGTAAAAAATAGGTCTCAATACCAGAAATAATTTTGTAAAGGAAATTATTACCAGCAATAATTTTTTGAAGAAAAAATTATTACCAGTAATACATTTTTGAAAAAATATTACGAGCAATAAAAATTGTCAGCATTAAATAACCCATTGAGGTTGATATGCTGTAAAACCAAACCAAACCAAACCAAACCAAACCACAAAAGAGAATGTATCAAAAAATGACAAACATGAGATAACTCGTCGTCGGCGACTTAATAAAAACTATCAACCACGAGTTATCCCGTAGTCGGCAGTCAATGTGTTAAATACCCTTACGAAGGTCGACAACTAACCTAACGTAAATCTATATGATTGTATTTATTTCTAAAAAAATTTACTCGATAATCACTCAATTTCCCCAATACAAGTCTCAAGAACCACTCAATATAAATGGTTACTGAATGGAGAAGGAGCTGTCTTTGTGTTGTGGAGTCAATATGACACCTCCCGATAACACAAATGAACTAGACAAGACGCCTTAAATAAAGAACTCAAAGTGAGTCAAGGGAAGTCCGTTGGTGTCAGGCAGTTCACTGCCAGGCTCGTGACTAACTTGTCGAACTCTCTGCCTTCGAGCATAGAGGAACCCAATCGAGGCTATGCCTACGAACAGTGTCACTTCTGGGGAGGCAAACAAACCCGACCCCGTCTATGCAATGTCAACGAGTAATTTTTGTCCGAGCCTACAGGCTCGGAAACGCACACGCAAAACTCAGCCTTGTGCCACATCCTGCCTTGTGGGGAGTTTCGTAAATACCAGTCCATTAGAACAAGCGAATGACTCCTATCCAAAATATAGGACGAGAAAGACAGACGATGGAGGTCACATCAGCAAGATCAAAATGAGAAAATATGGACGTCAAGTTGAACAAGAAATCACCAATCTGTGAGTAGTGCCTTACAATACATATTTGTTGCGTTAATTCACCTATCATAATGTTGAAATATGCTCATCAGTTCATTCAATCAAGTATTGCATCAAATAAATATCAAAGGGGACAGATCAGGCTATTTATACACAAACTCCCCACTGAATTTTTTTCCACTTTGATTTAAATTAAATTTAAATTTGAACAAGGGAATGACTCCTGTCCCATATATAGAGCGAGAAAGCCAGAAGATGGAGGTCACATCGGTAAGATCATTGAGTAATGTTGAAATGCATCATTTTTCTCCACAAATTATTACAATAATTTAAAATCAATCATATTTTCTTGCAAAAAGTGTGTGACACACAGCAAGGCGCAGGTAATTCATCTCGTACTCCATAGTTCTTCTGTTCTAATACTTTTAAAGATAAAGCATGGCAAGAGTTTATAAAGCGG